TCGCTGGCCTTGTTTTAATCCATTTCTTTGAATGTAAGGGTAAAATAGTACTCAACTTTACTAGTCACATTAAAAAAGTTTATTATTATAAAATGTTGTAAAATACACAAATACAAAATCATGGATAGGCACAAATAAATATTGCCAGACGCACAAACAGACTACGTTTCTTTAGAGAATACATTTATCTTCCGGATTCATTTTCGACCCTCGGGGACATTTGTATGTCTCGGAAAATTCCCCAATGTGTTTCAAAATCTCATTCACACTAAAAGTAGAGAAAATTAATTTTAAAAATGAGTAATCCCTAATGAGACAATATAGTGAACCGTTTTATTATTTCATCCACGATCACGCTAGAAGACTGTTGGCCTTATTATCTGCAACAGTGTTGACGTAAGCCATGATAATCTTAACGTTAAAAATGTGTTTTAATCGACGCTCACAACTACAACTCTAATGTCGTCACCGTGGTTCAAGATGGAGGATTTTTGTGATGTTGACCTAACTGCGTTATAAATCTGAAAAGATATTATTTTTGCAGCAAAGATACATATAACAGTCGACAATGGTGACCAATATGTCAAACGCATACCATGAATACACATTCAAAGAAACATATGGATTTACAAAGTGAATACCTGAATCTAATACTTTGATTATATGACTGTGTCCTGTAACGCCTGAGATCATGACGGTATCCATCACACATTGTCTTTAATTATAAAAGGAATAGATGAAATTGGAGAGGATCACGAAACGTTAACTGATGCATTAGAATAATAATTCAGTGAAATTAAACAATGTTTTATGCAGAACCTAGATTGTTTGTAGTGTTGATAAGTTCGAGAATCTGCTTCCAACTGCTATAATTTATTTCGTTAGGTCAATGATAAATGGGATCTAGACGCACTGAATTACTTATCAACTAATATCTACTTAACTAAACAGCACTGAAAATTAGCAAACATAATTGAGTTCTTCATGATGTTGCATATATGTTGACAAATCAATGTGCTATGCATGAAGAACTGAAAATTCGAAATCTATCTGCTTATGAAAAGCGAGTGTCTACCTTTCTCGTCCTCAAATATTGTATGTTAATATTTTACGGATGAATACCAATTCTATTCACAATGACAATGGAATCTTTTACACAAATTACTGACTTTTAGCTACTAATTATTCGAAATTTCATAATTTTACTTCTCGAAAAATTCAGTTCATCTGCCTAATTCGCTTGCTTGGTGGCAAACTGTTGTTTCACAACATGGTTGCATTGTTGGTAATGGTAATAATACACCGTAATTTATAGCATGAATGAACCTGAGGAGAATTTTGTTTAAATGAAAAATCCGTCAGTGTGTATAACTCACTTCAGCGAATGCTTCAAAAAATTTCTTCTTCTCCAAAATATCATCATGATTACTTATGGCGTCTATCTTGTATGTCTACAAAATATGTCAGGCAATGAGCAATGAAGAATACTCAATCAAAATAGTTGTTTTACTACATTTTTTAATTTTGAATAAGTCTTCACCAAAACATCATTATGCAATTATTTACACTGAAACAATTATGTCAGTAATGTGATTGCACTTTAATTGAGGTTTGACAGTTTCTGCTGTTCGAATAACAGAAATATACCATTTATTTCTAAATATTCATGCATTTTATTCATACTAGGACTATTGTGGGCATGAATTATGCTTGGTGGTCACGTGATATCAATCTTTCACTGAAGATGAAACAAGCTTAATACAATTCACATTCCATTTTTCAGCACTAGAAAACATGTTGAATACTGAGCAAAAGATTCTATTGAAATTACTGGTAAACTGCGTATGTCTTCCTTATGCACGACAAATGACTGTTCATCACTCAATAAGTGTTGCTACCTATAGTTGACTTGCTGATTTCGAACAAATTATCAGTTTCAAATAAATGATATTACAACAATCGAATAATTTCATTGTCTTCTCTCCAGAATATCATCAAGATATCAATCACAAATAAAGCATTTGCGAAATGCAAATGAAGAACACAAATTTTCGAGGAGTGCATTCATTTAGTATCCTGGTAGTTATGCAATAAAATGTATATAATCTTAACTAAGTTAACTTACTGAAACGGCTAACATTAGACCATTAATATCAGCTGCCAGTTGCTCTAAATACTAGTTAATATGAAAAATATTGCGACAACATGAAATGTAGTTATTGTCAATGAAAAAAATTCGAGCATTTTAAGTATCATTTATATTATGTTGTAATATTTGAAACCAGATTTCAACCGGTTGAATTGGTCTGGTTTGAATGACATGTATCAATAATCAACGATTGACACCACAAATAATATTATGTGGAGAATGCTTTTATCAGTTAACATACTTTGCGAAGTAAGCGCGATGGCATCAAAATCCATTCCTCACCGTAGCTGCTTCCTTGACGTGGTTGTCATGCTTAACATTTGTGATGACTCAGCCGAGCTATACTTGCTGGAACATATGGTTCAAATCGGTTTGAAATAATAACTCTCTTATTGTGAATCTTATCAGAATAAGTAAGAACAGCAGTGAGAAACAGGTGTAGAAAACTGTCAAGTGTTTCGCTTCACAAATGAATTGACAAAGTAAACCTTCATACTTTGTTTCTCTCAAGAGATTACTAGCTAATGATTGAAACCCATATGCAGTGCTGATGTTTATAAATTCCTAGGACTTGTCAACAACTTATATTCAATTCACAAACCATGTACAGATGGATATCGTTGTCTTATTTACATAAGATTCGTTATTCTTCGAATAAATGAGACTTTTTATGAACATTCCATCTTGAATTTAACACAATGATAACAAGTCTTACAAGTCAGATACTAACAGTTATGCAAAAATAAGCTATGGAAACACAAAATGCTCTATTGATAGACCACTCACTTTCTTCTCAGGCAACCAAGCGTTAACTGGTCTTGATAAACAACACATTTGATTTTTAATCGGTGATGGATTTGCTAGTACGCAAGATGACTGAGAATCGTCATTTCATCATCTTCATCTTCATCACCTCTAAAAGCTGTAATGCAAGTAGTAGTTACTAAGACAAAGTTCAGTGAAAAGAATTCCTAAAAATCAGTTATATTTTAAAGCTTCACTACCTCAATAATAACACACTTCTTGAATCATGTTTAAAGATTATAATAGTGTAAACCAAATAGTACCTTTGCTTTGAAGCTGTGTACTTTTGACTGTTTTATAATAAGAAACGATGTTAATTAAATTTGAATTCCATTGAACACATTTATTTCGGGTTTTCGAAATCGATTTGTAATCTAATGTGAATAAAGATTTCGAGTTCACAGAGTGATCAACAGTAGTTCGATTTCAACTGATCTCTTGTGATGCATAATATGTACATTTCATTCGTCCCTAAATTCAATTGACCGAATAATGTGGATGGTCAGAGACGTATACAAGAACGACAGATTTGCACTCGTTCTGTTTTACTATCTGATGAGTAATTTAGGAAAAAAATAAATTGATAACAGCACCTAAGTTGCTGTCGACTATATAGTGTCATGTAACACGTGCTTCAGTTTAGATAGATTAGGTAACTAAACAGATTTAGCTGAAATACACACAATCAATACAATTCACTTAGACATTTGGTAGTGAGACAAGATAAGCAAATCTCGACTGTTTGTACTCAATTCAAAATATTCAGTTTTGCTTTTAATAAGATTACCGAAAGAAAAATACGGTGAATTTTACCTTCAAATATTAGTTGACGACCAATCAGCCAACCGAGAATTCCGTATTTTTGAGATATTGAATATGATTTACTCAGAAATGACGGGTGTAATAACGCAGCAGACAGATATATTTCAGGATATAGCACTTGTCCAGGTTCGTCTTGTACACTACTGAAAAATTAAAGTTTCGAGTATTTTTAAGAGGAAAACGCACCTAAATGATGTCGTACAGTTATTATTTGTTCCAGTCTCAAACATTTAAAGTGCGTAACGCAGAAGTTGATTCACAATCTTGTTACCAGAATTATCATCAGCGAATAAACGAAAGCACAGGCTCACGACTAACTGATCTCTAGATAACAAGTGACTCTATTCAGGATGACAGCAATGCGACAATAAAATATTATTAGAAGAAACAATATACTAGATATCAACATAGTGTACACAGTTCAAAATGCTAATCAAATACTGAAGATTTAATATCAGATCAATAGAATAAGGATAGTGTTGAGTTGTGCCTCAATCCTCTCCATGTTGTTGCTGTTTTTTCACATCTATGTAGATTAGTACATCTCATTTACAGTAAACATGACGGTAAAATGTGATTCAAATGACTACTAAAGTACGGCGTACACTATATATAATGATGTCAAATGCTAGACCATTATCTCTATTTTTTAATATATGAAACCTTGTAATGTGAGAAGAGAACACTGTTACACAATACCGCATTTTACTGCTAGTTTCAAAATTAACGTTTTAAATATTACGGACAGCTCTATACGTCCTTTTACCACAAATTTCATTCATGATGGTTGACAAAAAATATCAAAACAACAACTTACTAAAGGCTAATCTCGTAGAGTCTATCTATCGAATAAAGGTAGTTTATTTTTTGATAGACGTAGACATTCATGAAGTAGTTACTTTCTGACAATTTTTCCTAACAAGGAAATGAAACGATTTTAGAAAGTATTTTCATTCGATGAAAGGAACTGTTAGAAATTTTATCACACAATGTCCACTGGCTCACTCATACTGTCCTACTGAATCTATCTCTAAATCAAATTAGTCAGGAGACAATCGAGTATACAACAATTGGCAATTATTAATTTACAAACACGTCATGCCACAAAGCGATTGTTTGAAAGGCTAATTTTCGTTATCCATACACAATGAAACACTTTGTTAGTGAATTCACGCGTCATTTGATTTACCGGATGATGAATAATGTTTAACTTGTGAAACTTACTTCAATTTGAAACTCCGGTGATTCGATGAATTGATGAAGGTAAGCATCTAGGTACGTTGTTAACAATCCAATGTTCTCTGCCTACATAATGTATTGATTTAATGCATAAATAATTTATCGAAATGAGACAAACCGATTGAAGAACTCTACTTTTCTCTTCTTCACTAGGCCATGATTTCGATGACAATGACTGAATCAAAGTTTTCTTCGAGTCGCTTATCATTTCACGAACCTATTCAGAATAAAAAGGGAAACTGATGAAAGAGACTGCCTAAATGAAATAAATCACCAATAATAATAAACATATTATTAGTAAAATGATCAGCTTCAAAAATCGAAAACGTTATTGCAGAGATCAACACATCAGTGAATGGTGGATAATCCATTCGAGTATATGTGAGAACAGTACACTTCTAAAGCCTTATTCTTCATCATCAAATGAATTTCTGCCCAAACTACCTACTTATATTGTTTTCAATAGTTGATTGTGAAACAACTCATTCAATTGCTTTATATACAATCGCAAATTCGAAGCACTATATTATCAATTATTCAACTCACTTTCATTTCTGTATCCCCATCTACACTAGGATATTCAAGATGTCTTTGAAACACCGATCGAAAATTTTCTCTCACCGCATCAATGCAATTTCGTGAAGTTTTATCTGAATATTTCATTGATAAACATATTAACCGAATGAACTAATATATGGAGAAAAAGCATGCTATAGTCTTCAACCGTAACTAATCAAATTTTAAGCAGTAAAACCTTTAATTCGTCTAACATTAACTGATCGTCATTTCAGTATCGCAGTAACATAACTTTTCCCATTGCTAATACTGTTTCAATTTGATCACCTTATGCTCATTCATTAGAATAAAGTTGATTGTTGAATCCACTAAGCATACACAGATGAGTGGCACTGTTGAAAAACATATTAAGTGAGATGTAGGAGATATTAGTGACCAATCTGCATCTTGCCTTTGCTGAGAATAAGTAGTAACTAATAAGTTCTGAAGGCCATTCGAAATTTTGTTGATAAAACAAAATTTTTCTTATTAACCGAACAAAGTGATGTAGAGTGAAAAATCTGAATATCGTCTTTGACCGAAGCTTGTAATTTGTTCAATAAGAAAGTGTCTTCCATTCATTATCGATTCAGGTTACATTTAGTGATCCTCATTTCATTGCCAGTACTAATTCAAATCGATCATCTTTTACTCATTCGTTGTAATAAAGTCGGTTGTTGAACCCAAACAGCAAACAAAGATGAGAGTGACTGTTGAAAGACTTAATGAGTGTAGGAGACATTACAGACTAAAGATTATCATCTCTTTTTCTACCGCTTATTTAGGCAGTTATTTCATTACTTATCTAGACATTTTGCGTACAATTTGTGTCAACAAAATATCATGATGGACGTATCATCATTCAACGAAACGACCTGTTTTCGGAAAATGATTACAATTTATTCACTTGTCTTCTATCAGTTTTAAAACTAGAAAAAACCGACAATTATTCCTGTTAGTCGAAATGAAATGTGGTACTTACGATTATCGACAGGATAAAACTCTCCGAAATGTTCATTCAAGGTGTGCCTCATGTTGTACAAAAAGCTGATCACAATCATATTATGTAGATTTCTACAAGAGTGATTAGAATAAACCAAGTATTAGATCGGCATTTGATTCAAAATTAACAATATTCGTCGAATCTGTATTCCTATTATATGGTAAGTTCTAAAGATATGTATATCTATCACATGAACATGAAATGTAATATACACGATAAACACCGCATACGAATAAATATCATTACTAATGATATTCATCCGTTTACTTCGATATGAAATAGATTCACACAATGATCATTTATATTGCCTTTCATTATAATTCTACGAAATGACGATGATGGTTTCAATCGGCTCATACTTTCAGTAAAATTTATTAATTCAAACTGGTGAGAGAACTTGTTCAAACATTGCAGACGACCATGAATGTTCCGTTCACATGAACGTTGGATGGGAATACAAAAACGCAGCATTAGGTCTCGACGATTTTAGGCAGAATGGAATTCGATGTTTCTGCCAACTTGATCAGGATTTTTGGCATAAGAAACAATTGCATACCCTTAGATTTCAGTTTCTTCTCTAAAAGCAATACTTACTGTCCTATTTACCTGGTGTTCATCTTTATTCATATCACATATAAAAATGAATAAATCCACTCCATGGAATATATATCATTCATACAAACTTTGCAGAATTAAACAAAAATAAATGTTTGCTGTCCCAATGCATATAGCGAACCCTAACTGAAATTACTATTATTAGCATGTGCATAAACAACATCGACTGTTAAGATATGTTATTTTTTAACATCATATTAAAATAAGAGTCTGATCAACTAAAGTTTATTTTGGCTTCAGTTTTTAGTTCAGTGATCTTGTCCGGACTACATCACGTTTACCATAACCATAACAATCTAAATTATCAAAGTGTGCATAAGGTTGAATAACCGATTCGTGTTTAAACCGAATGTTATTCTTGTCATTTTCAAATGTTTACTTTAAATGTAGGACAGCATGAGTGAAGTAAGATGTGAATCGTGAGAAAATTTCAAAAGCTGAACAATTAATGAATAAATATGTGCTAGATGATGTTTAACTTTTTGTGAACGAAAGTTGATCTTAAACTATAACAACACGATATCTAATTAAATAATTCGTTTATGAAAACATAAAACGAAGGTTTGTAGAATTACTTTCTGCTTTCCTCCTTTTTCATAGCTCCTACAAATTTTCCACAAACATCATGCAAGTTATCTTGATCTTTGACCACAATTTTTACACTTTGTAACACAACATTTTTCATTTTTGTGACTACATAAAGGAAAAGCTTCTCCCATTCCATCTAGTAAAAGAAAATATTTGAAGCAAACATTCAGAAACATTACAAAATGTATCGTATCTCTGAATGACTTGTCGATGTATGTTTATCAACTTACACTGATCAACTAATACACGTGAATTTCTTGCTCACAATACTTCTCTTCTCTGCTTCCTAATCTTGCTTCACCGGCAACTGTGTAACATTGAATCGTTAATGATGAGGGCGATCACCAGATGACATCTCATGTCCGAATAAAATTTCCGTTGTACAATAAATCGGAAACCAAGGAAGTCGCACAACGCAATTGATTATTTGCATTATGTGCGATATGAGCGGTAAGGGAATTAAAAGACAGTAGCTTAAAAACCAACTCCGCCAGTAGAAACTTAGGGGCTACTGTCGGTCCCAAGCCCGGATAAAGGAAGGTTGGACATGAAGTTGGCGACCACATTCCGTCGAAATCTCACTTGCCAAAAAAACGCTAACCAGAAAAAATAACTCAAATAATTTTAACTCTGCCCTGGGAGTTGAAAGAAGAATTATGACATCTCGTGATGAAAGCCGAGTTCCCTCGAAAGTCACGGGGCCGATGCGTCTTCTGACAACCACAGCAACCATTTTTTTAGGTAAATGGAACGTTCGTACATTGTTGGAGACTGGAAGACTATTTCAAGTTGCGGCACAAATGAAAAGATACAACCTCGAGTTGCTCGACCTCAGTGAAACGCATTGGACACAGGTAGGACAACTGAGACTAGCTTCAGGGGAACTGCTGTTATACTCTGGTCATGAAGAAGAAAATGCTTCTCATACATAAGGAGTTGCACTGATACTGTCCAAACATGCACAAAAGGCACTGATAGGGTGGGAATCTCATGGGCCCAGGATCATTAAAGCATCCTTGAGAACAAATAAGAGGACATTACAATGAACGTCATCCAATGTTATGCACCTACCAATAACTCAAATGACGACGTTTAAGATCAATTCTACGAAAGGCTGCAGTCCATCGTCGATGATCATATCTGTATCAACAAAACGTTTAGAAAGACTATGGAGGATATGAGAACCAAAAGAGGAGCTGATATAGCCTCAGATCACCATTTGCTGATCGCCAAAATGAAACTAAAACTAAAGAAGCACTGGACAGCGAGACAGACAACATCACACAATTTTAGTACAGCCTTTATTCGGGATACCGTAAAACTCAACGAATTCAAGATAGCCCTCACCAATAGGTTCCAGGCCTTTCAGGATCTACCCAATGGAGAGGAAGCAACATTGGAGTACAATTGGAAAGGGATTAAGGAGGCAATCACTTTAACATGTCAGGAGGTCCTTGGTCGCAAGAAGCACCATCACAAGGAATGGATCTCTGTTGATACTCTTGCAAAAATTGAAGAAAGGAGGAACAAGAAGGCAGCAGTGAATGTCAGCCGAACAAAAGAAGAGAAAGTTACCGCACAAGTTGAATACACGGAAGCAAACAGGGAAGTAAAGAAGAGCATCAGAGCTGACAAACGAAAATATGTGGAAGATCTAGCAATGACGGCGAAAAAAGCTGCAAGAGACGGAGACTTGAGACAATTGTACGAAACTAAAAAGAAGCTCCCTGGAAACTATCATAAACCAGAACGGCCAGTGAAAAGCAAGGAAGGCAAAGTAATCAGCAACACTGATGAACAGATAAATAGATGGGTAGACCACTTTGAGGAACCCCTGAATCGACCAGCTCCACTAAATCCACTCAACATCGAAGCAGCATCCACAGACCTCCCATTTAATATTGGCGCACCGACGATTGAGGAGAGCAGTATGGCCATCAGACAAATCAAGAGCGGCAAAGCAGCAGGATCAGACAACATTCCAGCAGAGGCAATGAAAGCAGATGTAGAAGCAACTGCGAAAATAATTCACATCCTCTTCAAGAAGATTTTGGATGAGGAACAAGTACCATCAGATTGGAAAGAAGGATACCTGATCAAAATACCAAAGAAAGGCGACCTGAGCAAGTGTGAGAACTACAGAGGCATCACTCTTCTTTCAATACCAGGCAAAGTCTTCAACAGGGTATTGTTAAACAGAATGAAGGACTTCGTAGACGCCCAACTTCGTGATCAACAGGCTGAATTTCGTAAGGATCGATGGTGTTCTGACCAAATTGATACATAACGGATCATTGTGGAACAATCAATTCAATGGAACTCACCACTCTACATCAACTTCATCGACTACCAGAAGGCATTCGATAGCGTGGATAGGAAAACACTGTGGAGGCTTCTTCGACACTACGGTGTGCCTGAGAAAATAGTCAACATCATACGGAATTCTTATGATGGATTCAACTGCAAAATCGTGCATGGAGGTCAGCTGACAGACTCTTTCGAGGTGAGGACCGGTGTCAGGCAAGGTTGCTTACTCTCACCCATTCTCTTTCTCCTGGTCATCGACTGGATTATGAAAATGTCGACGTCTGGAGAGAAGCACGGTATCAACTGGACAGTTAGGACGCAGCTGGACGATCCGGACTTCGCAGATGACCTGGCTCTTCTATTTCACACTCAACAACAAATGCAAGAGAAGACGACCAGTGTAGCAGCAGCATCTGCAGCACTAGGTCTCAAAATACATGAAGGACAAAGCAAAATTCTCCGATGTAACACAACATGCACCTACCAAATCACTCTTGATGGAGATGCCTTGGAGGACGTTAACACCTTTACATATCTGGGCAGCATCATCGACAACCAAGGTGGATCGGACGCAGATGTGAGGGCACGGATTGGCAAAGCAAGGGCTGCATTTCTACAGTTGAAAAATATCTGGAACTCCAAACAACTTTCAAACAAAACCAAAATCAGGATTTTCAATACAAATGTGAAGACAGTTCTACTGTATGGAGCGGAAAGTCGGAGAACTACCAAAGACATCATCCAGAAGACACAAGTGTTTATGAACAGTTGTCTACGCAAAAAACTTCGGACAATACACGATCAGCAACAACGAACTATGGGAGAGAACAAACCAGATTCCTTCAGTGGAGGAGGAAATCAGGAAGAAGCGGTGAAGTTGGTGGATAGGACACACACTACGAAAAGCACCCAACTGCGTCACGAGACGAGCCCTCACATGGAACCCTCAAGGCGAAAGGAAAAGAGGAAGGCCAAAGAATACATTACGCCGAGAAATAGAGAAAGATATGAGAGGAATGAACAAACATTGGACAGAACTGGAGAGGGAAGCCCAGTACAGATTTGGTTGGAGAAAACTGGTGAGCGGCCTATGCTCGATTGAGGGTAACAGGCGTAAGTAAGTAAGTAAGCTTAAAAAACCTTTCATAAAAAGGCTGTGCATGACTGGCCTCAAGTAGCTGTCACTTTGACTCTGCGGTCACACTCG